GAAATGAAAATGTATATTCCTGGATCACGAGGGACCCAGCAGGCACCCCACTGTGTTTTATTATTTATTATTTAATGACTCCAAAATGTCACTCTGATGTTCAGCATTTGGCTCCATCAAGGGGTCTAGCTGCTTCATTGATGGTTTTCTGTTCCCCTTCCAGATGACACCCTAGCTCCTCCTGCTCCCTTTCCTCACCGGATGGTCACTGCCAAAAAAGCCGCCATCAGCAGTTTTTATGCCGTGGACAGATCGGAAATTCTAGGAGGGTAAGTAATGCTTCATTTTCACAGTCGTTCAACCAAAGAAGAGCGCTTTTGAGCAGTCCGGAGGGTTCCGTCAATGTTAGCCGGTCTCCGTCTGAGAACCAGAAGTCTCACCCAGTCGTGATGCAAGGGATGGGAACGCCTTCTGAAAACTGTCCCCGAAGCCAGCAAGGATGATGGGGAGGACGTGAGGCAGCCCCAGACTCCCCCTGTACGATCTCCTTGTTCTCCCCACGTTATGAAGCCGGTCAGTAGAGGAGAGGAGCCCAGGGTGGGTCGGCAGGAAACGGAACACAGCTGTGAATCACTGCCCCCATACCCTGGCGACCAGCTTTGCATCTTTTATTTGCTTTTTGACGTTGTTGCTGGTGTCCCAGGCAGGTCAGCTCTGAACTGGTTCTCCCAAGCCTCTTCTGTTTTCCGCTCTCCTGTTGGTGGGACTTACTTGGAGGGTCTCTGCTGGCATGTTTCTCTCCGAAGCTGTTTGGGGCTATTTCTCCTTTTTTTTTTAAAAATTTTTTATTTTTTTTTATATTTATTTATTGAATCACCGTGGGAAAGGTTACAAAGCTTTCAGGTTTATGTCTCAGTCATGCAAATATCAAACACATTTCCCTTTACCAATACTTATTTTTTACCATGAAGAACCCCAATAGAACCCCACCCCCCACCCCTCCCAGTCCCTGTGAGGCAGATGAATTCTAGTTAACACTCTATCTGCTTTGATTAGATTCATTGTTTCAATAAAAGATTCACCACTATTATTTAGAGTTTACCAACCCCCCCCAAGTCAGACATGCTGAAAAAGCATTGTGAAGTGATTTGCTTTCTACAGCTGGGTTCAAGAATTAAATGTTGGTTTTGGATTTCTGCTATTTTACCTATTGACCCTGGAAGTATTTCTACTGAAAGTCAGATAGTTAAGAAATTGGTTTCTGTGCTCTGGAGTCGTGGCCGTGCTGGAGAGCCGCTCGTGGGGGGCAACTGGTGGCCTCGGTAGGGCGTGAAGGGCGGACCGAAACGCCCCCCTTCCCATGAGGTTTTAGTCGCCCCCACACTCCCGGCTCATACCTGCTGTCCACAAGGCTCCCATGCGGCCACCATCTTTCTTTCCAGAGAGGAGAAGGCGACTGGGGCAACACCCTTTCCCCTCCGGGCAGACATGATGGCCTGGATTAACGCATAGTCCTTTCACTTTTCTGCTCCAAGCTGCTGGGTTCTGCATTAAGTCCTTGTGCTTCTGGGGCTGTGGCCGTGCTGGAGAGCCGCTCGTGGGGGGCAACTGGTGACCTCGGTAGGGCGTGAAGGACGGACTGGAACGCCCCCCTTCCCATGAGGTTTTAGTCGCCCCCACACTCCCGGCTCATACCTGCTGTCCACAAGGCTCCCATGTGGCCGCCATCTTTCTTTCCAGAGGGAGGAGGGCAGAAGGGACCAACACCCTTTCCCCTCCGGCAGACTTGATGGCCTGGATCAATGCAGAGTCCGTTCACTTTTCTGCTCCAAGCTGCTGGGTTCTGCATTAAGTCCTTGTGCTTCTGGGGCTGTGGCCGTGCTGGAGAGCCGCTCGTGGGGGCAACTGGTGGCCTCGGTAGGGTGTGAAGGGCGGACCGAAACGCCCCCCTTCCCATGAGGTTTTAGTCGCCCCCAGTCCCCCGGCTCATACCTGCTGTCCACAAGGCTCCCAAGCGGCCGCCATCTTTCTTTCCAGAGAGGAGAGGGCGAATGGGGCAACACCCTTTCCCCTCCAGCAGACTTGATGGCCTGGATTAACGCATAGTCCGTTCACTTTGCTGCTCCAAGCTGCTGGGTTATGCATTAAGTCCTTGTGTTTCTGGGCTGTGGCCGTGCTCCAAACTTAACTATGATTTTCAGAGAGAAACGTTGGGTGGTTTACTTCCCATGGATCACTTTGTATATAGAGAGACGTCGCGTGGCCACTTATGTGGCCGCGCGGTTTTGAGGAAAAGTCCTAGTTCCCGCATACTCGAGCTGTGCTTGTAGAGGCTTCTGGTCACCGGGGTTCCATCTGGGGGAGGTGGGATGCGGTACCTACCCCATCTGGGACTTCCCGATGATCTCGGCTCTTTTTGGAACCTGTTTTTTTTTTTTTCCTTCGGGATCTGTGGATCCCGCCCTCCATGTTGTCCTTCTCTTCGGCTGAATGCTTTAAAGCTCTCCTTTTTTTTTTTTTTTTTTTTTGGCTTGTTGGGTTATTCCTGGCGATCACAGCGGTTACTCCTGGCTCTGCACTCAGGAATTGCTCCTGGCGGTAGCTCAGAGGACCATATGGGATCCTGGGGATAGAACCCGGGTCGGCCGCATACAAAGCAAACACCCTGCCCACTGTGCTATCACTCCGGCCCTTATTTCTCCTTCTTTAACTTCCATCACAACCTCCCCCCATTTCCGAGGTGCTGGCGAAATAGTGCAGGGCTTAAGGTGCTTGCCTTGCTCTCAGCTGACCCCGGCTGATGCCCCTGAACGCTGCAAGTACTGATCCCTGAGCGAAGAGCAAGGAGTAAGCCCCGAGAATTGCGACGTGTGACCTCAAGGCCCCAAACAAACAACAACAATAACAACAACAAAATACAAACGACACCCCCCCCCATCTTGTCATTTAAAGCCTAAGTGATAACGTGGACCTCTGGCAGCATATCTCTGTAAGTTAGGAAGAGGAGAACAGAAAACTTCCACACACGCAGACCCAGTGTTGCCTGTAAAGCCCCCCTCTTCCTCTTCCCACTCCATATTTCTCTGGTCCTTTGCCCCATGGGCTCCCTGGCCCCTTTTCTTCCTCTGTTGGCCAAGTGTCGAGAATTGCCCTTGGCCCCCTGAGGATGGGCGGAGGGAAAAACAGCCCCCTCCAATATGAAACATAACCAGGAGGGTCTTAGAATCTCTCAATTCAGATCTTCAGAAGGTGAGTGCTGAGTCAGCAATCGTCTCTTAAAAGGACCATTGATCAAGAGGTGGCTTTAAAACTACCCCCAGGGCCTGTGTCCCATCCAGCGAGGATGATCAGTGGTTCCTGAAGAGCTTTTCCACCTCTCCAGGCAGAACCGGGTTTCTGGATTGGGCCTTCTGGCACGGGGAAGGGCAACAGCACTTCCCTCATGCCAACCAACAGCGGAAGGCAGCACCACAAGTGTCACAGAGGCACCATCCCGGCTGTACTGTGGCCTCCAATGGCAGAGACCATCCCGTGGGGTGGCCTTTCAGTGGGACCCAAGACCAGCAAACGAGCTTTCGCTCTGGACAGACGTTTGCTATAGATTGATGGCCTGTGAATCCTTCCAAACTCACCTGGTTGGCAGGCCTCAGGATTTTTCCAGCCTTCATCTCCCACCCAGCTTGCTCTCATGGTTGTCCTTCTCTGGGCACATCTCTTTGATTCCACTGTTCTTCCTGCATTAACATTTGCCTCAGAGACCTGGGCCCTACGAAAACAGGATGAGAACGCTATTCAGGTCTCCCAAAGAAGAATAGAAAGAGCTATGCTTGGAATGTCACGTTTCACTCAAATGAGAGAACGAATCCGGAGTTCTGACATCCGTCGACGATCAAGAATCAGGGACGCTGTCTCATTTGCCAAGGCGTCAAAAATCAGATGCGTTGGACACTTAATGAGATTTAGAGATGACCGCTGGACTAGAGCTGTTACCGACTGGATTCCACGGGATGTCAAAAGACCACGTGGCCGTCCACCTACCAGATGGTCAGACTTCTTCATCAAGATCATGAACGATCGGTTTGAGGCTCTTCATGTTCCTAGAGCGAACAGACGCCATTGGGCTACACCAGAATGCTACAGGGACAAATGGAGACGTTACTGGTGCCCGCTTGAGCAAATCAACGATTAACAGGAAGTCAAGTGATCGAGTGATCAAGTGATCATCTCCCACCAGTGGCCTCTGAAGTCTAGATTGTCCATAGTCACTGTGGTGAGTTAGCATGAGCCCATCAGCCTGTCGGTCCTCTAAAGACCATGCATGGCTCATTCAAGGTCATTGCTGGGCAATCCCTGGGAGAGACAGCAGACTCAAGAATGGTGTGGCCACGGCGGCTAGACTTTCCGATGGGGGAGCACATTGATGACCAAGAAAAAAAAAACCACATCTTCTTAATCAGCAGAGGGAAGTGGGGGAGGGGAACTGTGCTTCCACACACCAGGAGAGAGACAACATTCAGAATCGGGGTCCAAGTTGAAGTGGCCCCCCCAGACAAGACCCCCTCGCTGTGTTCTTCTGTTTGTTTCGCTAAATTGGGGTCAGAGCCAGCGTGTCAAACTTCAGAGTCACTCGAGTGTGGATTTCTGGAGGCGATCAGTGCGCAAGAAGCTGGCTCCCGGGCATTTTGCAGTCGAAATTCAAGCTAAGCTCAGAACTCTCCTCAGGGGGCTACGTAATGGGTATTTTTGGATGCTATGGAATTTAAGTTGGAGCGATTGCACAGTGGATAGGGCGTTTGTCTTGTATGAGGCCGGCGCGGGTTCAATTCCTCTGTCCCTCTTGGAGAGCCTGGCAAGCTACCGAGAGTATCCCACCCACACAGCAGAGCCTGGCAGTCTCCACTTGGGAGTATTAGATATGCCAAAAACAGTAACAACAAGTCTCACAATGGAGACGTTACGGGTGCCCGCTCGAGCAAATGATGAACAACGGGAGGACAGTGCTTCAGTGTTAGGGAATTTAAGCAAGATTTGTCTTAGTCATTTATATGCAGTTTCCAGAAATGCATTGATGTGCTCGAGTCTCAGACATTGCTGTTGGTGTGCCTTTGGTCTGACTGACCACGTGCACAAGTTTTCAGAACATTTCTCTTATTATTTCTGTTAATGGCGGGTCTCGAGTTCTAGGGTGCCTGTGAATCACCCCAGGGACACTGTGAAAACGAAATTCTGGGACCACAGACACTTTGGAGAGTTTAATCCTCATCCCTGCCCCGATAACGCTTAGGCCAGAGACACCCCCACCCCACCCCGTCCCCAAACTCTCACTTGGCCGACAGTGTTCAGAAGTTATTGGCTACGGTAGATGTATCAATGGGTGTGTTGCCCCCCCCCCCAAAAAAAAAAAAAAACCTCAGAGGCAGCAGCTGCCCGGGGAGGGCTCTGGGTTGAAGGGTCTTAGGTTGAAGAACCTGGGTGGGGGTGGGTTTGAAAGGGCGTCCCACCTGCGCCATCTCCTTTTCTTCCGCAGGGGGCGCTTTGGCCAGGTTCACAGGTGCGAAGAGAAAGCCACGGGCCTGAAGCTGGCGGCCAAGATCATCAAGACCAGGACTGCCAAGGAGAAGGTAGGGGCTGTGCAGGAGGGCGTCTCCTGGCTAGGGGTCTGCCCTCACTCAGGAGCCTCTCCTCCCCTCCCCGTCTCTGGTGGCAGGACGAAGTGAAGAACGAGATCAACATCATGAACCAGCTGGATCACGTGAATCTCATCCAGCTCTACGACGCCTTCGAGTCCAAGAACGACTGCATCCTGGTCATGGAATAGTGAGCATCCCCTCCCGTCCCCTCCCCTGCTCAGCTCCGTCTCCTGGGGGCGGCCCCCCTCCCCATCAGTGTCGGAGAGGAAGTCACTTAGGAGGACCCAACGGCAACCTGTGGGGATTTCGTGGGTGGGAGGTAGGAAGGGGGAGGCCCATCTAACTTTGTGACTGAGCCACACTGCCCAGAGTCCAGATGCAAGTTTATTCTGGGGACGAGGTAGAAAGTAATGTGAGAGGGCTGGAGCGACAGCACAGCGGGGAGGGCTTTTGCCTTGCACACGGCCGACTCGGGTTCGATTCCCGGCATCCCATACTGTCCCCCAAGCACTGCTAGGAGTAATTCCCGAGTGTACGAGCCAGGAGTAACCTCTGAGCATCACTGGGTGTGACCCAAAAAGCACTGTAGCACTGTCCTCCCATTGTTCATCGATTTGCTCGAGCGGGCCCAGTAACGTCTCCATTATAAGACTTGTTGTTACTGTGTCTGGCATATCGAATACGTCACGGGGAGCTTGCCAGGCTCTGCTGTGCGGGCGGGATACTTTCGGTAGCTTGCTGGACTCTTCAAGAGGGGCAGAGGAATTGAACCTGGCTTGGCCGGGCCAGCTTTGCGTAAGGCAAATGCCCTACCGCTGTGCTATAGCTCCAGACCCACCCAAAATGCTAAAAAAAAAAAAAAAAGTAATGTGAAAATTATTCTTGGGGAAGTGATTATTGAATGACGCTTCACTTTTGACTTATTTCAGTACAAGGTTCGTGGTAAACTCTGTATAACACGAAGTTGCTAGTAAAATCATCTGTCAGGGCTGGGGAGACGGCTCCAAGGGCTGGGGCGCACGCTTTGCTTGCAGGAGCCCTGGGCTTAGTCCCTGGTACCATATCATCCCTTCAGCACTGCCAAGAGTGAGCCCCACCCCCACCCCAAACGCTGAGTGGAGGGCAGCCCTTAGTACTGAATCTCGCGTGGTCCATTTCCTCCTCCCCAAAGAATGAAAAGCACCGTGATGACAACCTAGGGACTGTTTAGTGAGAAAGTGAGTTTCGCACACGGGGCATTGTGGTTGGGTTGTGCTCACCTCTCTGCCCCCGAATCCCCAGATGGCCTCTATCTGCCATTGCGCGGGGAGGAATTTTGGATGATGGAAATATCTCGCATCAGCCTCTGAGAAGCTCTTTCTCATTAGAACTAGTCTGGGGAGACCCTGCTGAACCCCCACCTGGGGCTGGGACGCCCCTTCCCCAGCTCCTGTTCGTTGGGGAAGGGCCCTGGGTTGAGCCCCACTCCCAGGCCCGGTGACGGAGGGGCCCAGAGCCCACCCAGTCATGAAACGGGCAGCTCCAGCGTGACCCGAATTCGAGTCAGCATGGGGGGTAGGGGAGTGCGGGGCGGGGGGGGGGGACGGCGAGCACATCTGGGGGAAGGCTCGGCCCCTGGCCACGACAGGAAGTGCTGCTCAGCTGGCCATGTCCCCCACCTGCAGTGTGGACGGGGGTGAGCTGTTCGACCGCATCATTGACGAAAGCTACCGCCTGACGGAGCTCGACGTCATCCAGTTCACCAGGCAGATCTGCGAGGGCGTCCGGCACATGCACCAGATGTACATCCTGCACCTGGACCTGAAGGTGGGCCCCCAAATGGGCACAGGGGAAACTCGCTGGGTCACAGGTGCCGCTAGGGATGACCAAACTCTGAGTTCTCAGCCTGCTCCCTGCCCCCAGTCGCTGCCGCCCCCCTCCTGCTGGTGTGTCCCACTCTGCGGCCCTCTGGGGTGATGAGGCGTGTTGAAGGAATTCATGTGGGCAGTGATCTCCCTAGCAGTCTTGATGACAATTGTCACCACTCCCTCCACCAGCATCACCGCCACATTCCCCTCAGAACCCTCCCCCCTACCATCACCATCATCACCACTGCCACCTCCACTACCATTATCACTAGCATCAGCACCAGCATCTCAACCACCACCTCCACTACTGTTATCACCAACGCCAGCATCAGCATCTTGCCACTGCCACCCTGCCATTACCACCACCACCACTATCATGACTTCCTTATCATGTCCCTTTCATCCTTAGCCCGAGTAGGCGCAAGGTTTGTAAACGATTCAGAATTCCCTCATAGCAATCATATATTTTTTTCAGCTCTCTAAGAGTACCCGACGCTGTCAGAAACTTTTCCAGGAAGCTCTGGGCTTTGGGTGCGGGGCTTGAGTTTTCTGTCTGCAGGGTAGTGTGCTAACCCCACGGCAGAATGGGATATGGGCCAGGGAGGGGGCGGGGCAGAGAGAGGCCGTGGGGATGGACAGGGCACCGGGGAGGGAAGACTTCAGGAGCTGAGAGGAACCGAGGCACCTTCCTTTCTCCTCTTGGTGATTGATTTCGGAATCCCCGGCAATGAATGCCCCTGGCCCAAGAGCTCAGAGTAGCTTTCGTACTGGAAAGCATCTTCTTGTGTGGCTCAATCATTTTCCCATTTCCCCGCTTGCCGAGCTTGACAGGCAGATAAATTATGTATTCTGCACCGCATCCCACCTACCCCAGCTCATTGGGGATTGTGGCGCTGAGTCCATTTAACTTCCTTAAATGGGTTTCCACGGGCCTCTCTGCCTGGGTCTTGGCTTGCCTCGCCGGCTTGATTTATGGGCTGCGCCTCTCCCGCTCGCGGGGCAGGAGGAAGTACTACGGAGTAGGACGAAGCCAGAGGCGGAACAGCATTAGCAAAGCCCCTGGCTCGGGATGGAGTTTGATGATGTGCATTTGGACGGAGCGTTTGCTTCCAGGGTAGAAACTTTGCACATCTCCCGAAGGGGTTGATTGGCAGCTGGTACTGGAGTTTGACCTGCTGTAGGTCAAACGCTCCACAGAGATGGAGAACGGAGGAGGGTCTTTCAGTTGGGGCTGTTCGGGAACGTGGATGATGAAGGGGGCGGTGTAGACCGGCCGTCTGATTCAGGAAGCTCCTAGCAAGGAAACAGGATCTCAACCCTTAGCAGGGCTTACGACTCCTCCGGTAGTTTATTTTTATTTTATTTTATTATTATTTTTTATTTTTTTGCTTGTTGGGTCACACCCGGCGATGCACTGGGGTTACTCCTGGCTCAT